ATATACGTAAACGACATATGTAAAATCATTGTGCGTTGACCTACGACAACGACTTACGATTACGACTCAGTCAGAAACAGTTGCGACCATCTTTGTGCGCGGACCCTTACTTGAGGATCTCTGGCTACGTTTACACTGTACGACTGATAGCGACCTGACCTATATCGTGATCCAAAGGCTACGGTTACACCGTGCATTTAGGCCGCGGCCTAAATGCACGGTGTAACCGTAGCCTTTGGATCACGATATAGGTCAGGTCGCTATCAGTCGTACAGTGTAAACGTAGCCAGAGATCCTCAAGTAAGGGTCCGCGCACAAAGATGGTCGCAACTGTTTCTGACTGAGTCGTAATCGTAAGTCGTTGTCGTAGGTCAACGCACAATGATTTTACATATGTCGTTTACGTATATCCTATTGCATTTGAGATCTTAATACCACAGCGATACTTTGTCGAGAGTTCTGTTGTGAACGATAGGTGATATGATTATACATGATGCACATAGCTCTTTTAAATATTTTAACACTTGGGACATGTATAACAATTGTGAATGTATAACAAAATAATGTGTAATCTCTCTCGAAATGTTTGAAACCATAACCTTACTTATACATCAAATCCTTTATACATTAATTACATGAACATCACTTTGACATCGTCCTTGATGTCGCGCGCTTGCATTCGGCGGGAGGCTGGGCGAATTTGGCTATTTTCATCAGTTAATAACTCGTTAACCATTGCGAAAATTGTAAAATGGTAAACTTTTCTTCTCAGTTTAGTCCATTCTACCCCTATGCGAAAGATTTTTTATTTCTTACCAAACACCCTGTATATGTAACAATTTTTGTTTTTTTTATAATATATGATTTTATATTAGAAATAATTTTTTTAATTTATAATTTGGTTGCATAATGATATATGATTTCTCAAATTCGTTTAATATTTCTATAACATGCCTAATATTTAATATTAAAGGTATCATATAAGAAATGTCTTTCTTTTTTACAAAAATACTTATTGAATAAGAAGGATTAGAAGTATTTTTTCAATATATGCTTTATACGATATAAGTAAATGCCATTTCAATCATAATTACATAAAACTTTTGTAATTGTATGTATTTTAGTTCACACTTTAGACTGAGAGCTCATAAACGATGAGTGATATGATTATATTATTGTATTAGGTTGGTGCAAATGAAATGGCCGTTTTTCATATTATAAAATGATGATTTTTCTTTTTACAATATTTAAAAAAAATTAGCGATTATACCATTCGATAGAGCAAAGTTTTAGCTTTAAGAAACTATATTTTTAATTACGTTATAATGGTTTTTAACAGAGTTATGAGCAATCAAAGTCCGAATGCTACTTTTATTTAATCCGCGAGTAATTCAGGAACAAAAAGCCGTAGGAACATTATTAAAAAATGATTTTATAGAGAAAACTTCAATCTTTCACGACAGATAATAAAAAATTTTCTCGATTTTTTTGGGAGGCACATGACAGACCTGTAAAGTGAAAAGAAATTTTTTCATTTTTTTTCAGCTCGTAGCTTTCTATGTAAAAATTATCAAACTCACATAAACTTAAAAAATATAAGTTTTTGGAAGTAGAGTTTTCAAGCTTTAAAATCCTTTTTTAAATTTAAATTTTGTTCATTTTTTAACGAAGTTACGACTGCTCTTAATAGCAATACAGAAAAACGGCCATTTCATTTGCACCAACCTAATATATAGTTATTTCAAATATTATAATACTTTCAATTGACATGAATTGTGAATGTGTAAATAATAAAGAATAAACAAAATAGTCTCGTATAATAATTACTAAATAAAACTAACATGACTTAAAATTTTTATATATATTGTAATAAATTGTTATATTTAAAAGTATATCAAAAATCATATTTTGTTCCAAATATATTATATTATTTATGTAATTATTTTTTAATGAGTAAATATATATAATTTTTTATATAATTCAAATATGTACATATTACAGATATATGAAATAAAAAAAATGCCACCAAAAAAAGTCATTCTCATTTTATACTGGCTTCTTTCGTGTTATTATTTGGGAAAAAAAAAAAAAAAGAGAGATTAAATATGCATAAGAGATGGATAAATTATACAAATCTTTTTCAAGAATTAAATAATGATGAAACCATGTTTTTTCGCTATACAAGAATGTCAAACCAGAGTATTGAAAGATTACTTCAATTATTGCAACCTCATCTCATGAAGCAAAATTATAGAGCATTGGGTGAGTTTTTTAATTCAGCATAAAAAAAAAATCCACCGCATTTTCATCGGACGATTGACAACATGGCGTCTCCGATGGACGCTTGATGATTAATTTTAAAGAACGGTGTGATGAACGATTTGCAGAATAGTAGTGACCACGATTACGAAACTGTTATATGGTCAAGAACACTAGTTTAGAGGATTTTTGAAATAAGACAATTTACAATAAATGCCATAAATTAATTTTTGAACTAAAATTTTAAACAATAGTAAGATGCCTCATATTTTTGATCAAAGCTGTATATTTTTACATATTATTTACATATACATATTTTTTGCAATATATACTTCATCATTATATACTTAAGTACATACCTCAATTGAAATTCTGGATATTCTAAAATGTGCTTTAAAATCCATATCTGTATATAATGGCACTACTTTTGAAAAAAAATTTCTATCTTTATGTGCTTAACACGTTTACATTTGATTAATAATAAATTCAATTCACTACTGTCACTGTTGCTGGTCATTGAAGATGAAGAAGAGGAATCAGACGAAGATTCATCTTCAAACATTTTTTTTTATTAAATGATATTTTAATATTTCCATGATATGTATTTCCATATTGTAATGTCCATTAACCAATAATCATGTTTTAGGTTAAGAAATATACCCCCCACTATGTTCATCAGAAATTTCATCAGTCCATCGACTAAATTAGTCGATGGATCTGATGGATATGTGATGATTTCAGCGCTGTAAATAAAAACACATCGATGTATTTAATAGGTGAATAAAAGAACTCTTTGATGCATTTGCACTTCATGCGATTGATCAATCAATGAATTAAAAAACTCATCCATTATCTCCAGAACACAGATTGCTTATCGCTTTAAGGTATAATTTATATATTATTTATTACGTTATATAAAGAACGTTCCAGCAAGAGACACAAATCGATGCATATTTATTATGTCTTTGTCTCTTACTGAATATCAAACAAAAACAAAATGACTTTTGTGTTGATTTATCTCTTACTGGAGAACTCACAGTAATGAAAATTACACATAAAATTTGTACATAAATTTGTTGTATGAGACATAATTAAGGTTCGATTTCATATCACAAAAGTTTGATCTGATCTGACCAAAGTGAAAATTGAGATTGATTATAATGTTCTTTTGTTTTTGGGAGAGAAAACAACTTGCATATTTTAGATCTTGTACTTTCTTAATGAAAAATATTACTTTTTTTACTATTATAGATTTCTTGGAACTGGAGATCAAACATCATCTATTGCTCTAGATTTTCGAGTAGGAGAGTCTACAGTCAGAATGATCAATAAAGAAGTATGCTCTGTTACAGTAAAAATTTTGCAGCCATTATATCTCTTTCCACCAACAAAACAAGAATGGATCCATACTTGCTTTTAACTATTGGAAGAGATGGCACATGCCAAATTGTTTTGGAGCAATCGATGGCAAGCATATCATGTTGAAATGTCCACCTAATTCTGAAAGTTCTTACTATAATTATAAAAAACAACACAGTATAGTATTAATGGCAGTAGCTGATTATAGATATAAGTTCACTCTAGTGGACATAAGAGCCTATGGAAGCAATAGCGATGGATATATTTTTGCAGACTCTGAAATAGGTATGAGTTTGAAAAATAGCGATCTTAATTTGCCAAAGGATATAGCTGCATTACCTGGCTCTAATATTATGACACATGGATTTTTCGTAGCAGATGATGCTTTTCTACTTTCAACCAAAATAATGAAACCATATTCTGGCAAACAGTTATCAAATAAAAAAAATCTTTAACTACAGACTTTCAAGCGCTAGACAATCAATAGAAAGTACTTATGGAATATATGCTAATAAGTTTGAAATATTTCATAAAGCTTTCTGTGTGTTACCTAAAACAGCAGATATAATAGTAACAGCTTGTGTTTGTTTGCACAATTTCATCATGACTGAAGAAGAAAAATTCAGAGATATTCCACACCACGAGCAAAATGCAGGTAGGAACAAATGGATGAAAACACATCTCACTTTGTGGAACTTTCATTTAGCGGACGCATACATTTTGCAAACTACCGCATTCGCGTTCTCGCTATGGGTAGCGAATTCGTCTTTATCGTTCGAACGTAAAACGTTAAATCCGGATATCTTGATATCGTAGTGGCACTCACACGTTCGTTGACAAACGTAACGGAGAAATCTGCTCCTCTTCGTTTGATGGACGTGGCGGAGTACTCGCTCACGCGTTCTATCCTTCACACCTTCCCAATTACGTCGCTGAAATACACGTGGACAATGCAGAATCCTGGCATATATATCTCAACGAAAAACCTATCAACAAGGAATATCTACTTCACACGTTAACACACGAAATTGGACACGCGTTAGGATTAACACACAGTTCGCGGGAAGACTCCATAATGTTTGCATTTGTCAGTAATAATAATACACTCGTTAAACTCAATATAGAAGACATTTTAGCCATTCAACAACTCTATGGAATTAAAAATATAAGACCGACAACAACAACTACTACAAAACCATCAACTATCGAAAGTACGACGACAACGACGACGACAACGACGAATAAACCCGAATACGTAGATCCTTGTAATTTACAATATGCGGATACCGTGTTGGTACTACATCATCGAATATTCATCATGTATCAACGCTATGTATGGTCGATAAATATAAACAATAAAAAATACGACGGACCATTCGTACTAAACAGCTACATGAATTTTCTTCCGGAAAATTTCACCTTATCGGCCGCGTATCAAAGGCCCTCGGGTGAAATAGTACTTCGTAAATAATATGGTTTACATGGTCGATTATCCCAGTTTCAAATTAAAAGACGATTGGCCAAAACATCTCTCGAGTCTAGGATTTCCCACGAACGTTTTCCCAATCAGCAGACCACATTGATTAAATGTTTTTTAAATATTTTTTCTTCATTGATTTTACATTTGTAGGTTACCATTGCAAAAAAAACATTTATTAAACATTAAAAAAATATTTAATTTATATTTAAAATATTTAATTTACATTTAAAATTCATGTGTCAACTAAACGTTTCTAAAATATTTATTTTAGATTTATTTTACATTTATTTCACATTTATTAGTCATTTGTAATATATATGTAACAAATATTTTTTTCACGTTCATTTAATATTTATTTTATATTTAATTCACATTTATTTTACATTTACCCCTAATTAACGTAAATGTAAAAACTTATATATATAACATATATATATGTATATAATTAATATTCATTACATTACACAACGCTATGTACATTTACATTTTGAGTATCGATTATAGTGAATCTGTGAATTGGTGTGAGCAACTGTTTCATATGGTGTAGTGATTAATACTGTAGTAAATACCAACAGAGGACAAACCTATACAATCTTCGATGATCATGATGTGGCGCAGATAGACGAATGTAGCATGAGTATTCGTGTGTATCACACGTTACAATCAGTATTCCCAGGAATACCGCCAGCTCCGACCTTGGCCTTTCGACACATCGACGGTAATATTTACTTTGCCAACAAACAACAATTTTACAAATTTAACGAGTTCACGAAAACTATAACGGAAGCTGGTCAATTTAATATTAACATACTCAATGTCAAATGTTCGAGAGACGGATTATTGCAGCAATTGCAAGATATCTTAAATCGACTAATTCGATCGAGATATTGACAAAGCGCAACGAGGAGTAATGAGAAGGAGGGAGATGGAAGGACATGTACATATAATATACCCCAAGTAATATACACTACGCGCATAAATTAAAGCATCACCTCTCACACCTTCGAAAAATGGGTAAACTTCAAAGAAGTGTAACTTCTACAAAAATGGTCAAAATGAGATTTGAAAAAAAGCATTTTGTAGCTTAAAATCTCTACTTTCCAAATCTGTATAATGAAATAACGATTCGGCTGATTTTTACGGAACTACATGATTATAAAGGAAGATCCGTAAAATCTCAAAATTTTTTGTAAATTTTGCACAGTTTCATGCCGTGAATGAGAAGTTAGGCACAAATACAATTCACAGCTTTCAAAAGCGTGATCCTTTACCTTCAATTTACTTTTTTTTTAACCTCTATACGATTTTTTTTTTACCGAGTTATTCAACATTGAAATAAAAATGGTCCCTTTGACTTTGACTGCTCATAAAAGACGAACGGAGTGACGTACAGTATTTTTTAAACAAGCAAAAAAAGTTCAGTTTTCTCTTTAAGATGCTTTTATCAATTTTTAGACACAGATAAGCTTTTTATGTAAAAAGTTAAGTGAAAGGTAAAGTTGAAAACTGAGGCAATTACCTGTTTCTATTCAACTCGATCTATTCTGATCAAAAAGAGAGAGACACCCTATGATATTAATTTTACACTTTAGGGTACTACTGATTTCAATGAGACTCATACAAAACAGTTGCGACATTTTAAAACTAATGTCCTTCATGTCCGAAGTTACGATTTTGGGCAAGACGACATTTGTTGATTTGAATTTAATCTTATATCGCAGCATGTGATCACACCGCTGGCATTAGCGTTATCCGAAGCGTACCACGTGGAGATTGCACAGTCGGATTTACGCTTCTTGTGTTTGTGTGCGTGTGCATGTACGTGCGCGCGCGCGCGTGCATGTATGCTGCGTGTGTGCACGCGCGTGTGTGTGTAAATGAAAAAATTAAATTTTAATATGAGATATTGCTGCCTTTATTATAAATTACGTCTCTTAAACGTTGTTGCATGTTTATGCACCGCCGGATCACTGCTTGCGGAATTTGATGCCAAACTTGACGAAGTGCTTCTATTAATTGTTCTAATGTTTGTATTCGTGGATAATGTCGTCGCAATCGACGCAAATCGTGTTAACGTTTTGAACCACCCGCCGATGAGCCCGGACCTCAACCCGATTGAGCATGTTTGGGATATGCTTGAGCGTGCGAAAGCGGTGCAGGAGCACAAGGGTTGGAGGTGTCGGTAAAGGACTGTATAAGGAATGGGATTGCTAGGGATATATACTGTAACTATTTGATCGGCTTCATTGTGAGCCGCGGAATAGAATCGGAACATCTGATCCCATTTCTCGGAGGAAGGACCAATGCGAGATGAAGCCGAAGGAGGGATTGGGAGTTGGTCTATGGAAGGGGGGGAATTGGTTGTTCGAGAGGGTCAGGGAGAGGGAATCGCTCAGATATGGGAGGAGGAGAATATTGCAAGATATCTAGGAGTATTGGGTCAGGGACGGAAGGGATGGATAGGTCTAAGGGAACATTATCGTCGGGAGGAACAGGGGAGTAAGAAATTTCAATGTCTACATTATTTAATGGTACTGACGCTAAGTCGGGTTCGGATTGGCGGCCCCGCGGACTCCTGAGGATGGTCGGGTTGCGACCCCGTGGACGGATGGCTCTCACGGAACCTCTAACGCGCACTATATAATGGGAGTTATATTTTTTTGTGTGGACCCAAGAAAAAAAACGGGAAACAGAAGACAAAAAAATTTAAAACTTACTGATAGGTGAACGGTGAACGGTTTGAGATGTTGGTGAGCTGGATCCCCTATGCGGCTGACCAAAGGGCAGAGGGTAGAGGCCCAGTAGCGCAGACGGCACGGTCGGTCGAATTGCTTTTAATTGGCACCGAGAGACCGACACTGATTGACTGATTGATTATTATTCTCGTTGCTGACTGACTGACAGTACTGACTAATTATTATTCTCGTTGCTGACTGATATTGACACGGACTAAGTGACTGGCCGACTACTATTAAGGATTGACGACGCGTTCTCTCGCGGGCCCCTATTTATATCTCAAAAAGGGGCATCTTTTCCTTTGTCTAGGACAATTGTTAAGTTGCAATGTCAAGCGGTGATTTACGTTTTTTCTTAGGTCCTATCGTGCTTAATCTAGAGTGCTTTGAAGGGGAGATAATTTACGACTTTCTCGAGTCTGCGAAAAAATTGCTCCGAGTGGATGTCAAATTTTATTATGCCCCGAAAAATATAGCTGGGTAAACCATTATTTGTGATGTTTAGTTAGTTTTCTTAGGATGTTCACGTGCAGGGTAACCGTTGTCAATCTCAAATCTGATCCCAGATAACGTTAATATGAAAAGTTTCTTTGAAGCATTTTATGTCTTGACGCGACGTAGCGTCAGCTTTATTTTTACCTAATATGAAATTGTTGGTCAGCCTCGGGTGGCTTAGGTGTTTGCTATTTCTTTATATTGTATTTCACAATCGTACCGCTTCTAGCCCTGCGTTTTTACTTAATATGGAATTTATCTGCCTCGGGTGGCAGTTAGGGTAGATGACGTAGGGCAATGACGTAGATAAATATAGATTTTGCAAGCCTAGCGCTTCCAAACTCGCATCGGCGTTGCTATTCTTTCCTTCTTGAGTGGCATTTATGAGTTTTCGTGGAAACTGTTTAGGCCTTCTAATTCTTTCAAATTTTTAACAGAAGACTGCACTTGAATCTCATAAATGCCATCATCAGTCGCGGCGTGGAGCCGTCTTCCGAAAGAAAAGAATCATGGCGTCTACGGGACGTAACAGTATATACAGGATATTCCGAAATTTTATATAAAATTTATACATAAATATGCAGAAATAATTAATTTCAACTATGTGTGAAATAATCACACATTTTTAATCAATCGCAATTTACAATTATATTGTATTTTAAATCGAACTCTACGATAAAAATATATTTTATTTATTGTTAGTATTAATTGTATGTATCTTTATGGTTTGATTAATTATAACAATTACGATTTCTTTACAGGCACGCCCACCTACAGCTATGCCTTACATGTCGCAAACTAAACAAAGTATTCAAAATACCAATGTTACTTCAAATGTTATGGTTGTTTTTAAATACAGATTGCTGGATGAATTTATATGCGCTGCTTATATTCAATCAGAAATTATACAAAAGTAGTGTATATACTGCATCTAGTATACAATCATGTTTTGCGTTTATTTTGCATACCATCTTATTTCTCACATTAAACTACGTATGCCAAACTGTTTACAATAAGGTATAGTAAAACTAAAACACAGTACTAATTATTTATAACTAGAATTATAAGCATAAGCAACAATTTTGAAACATAAAAATTACACATGTCGAAGTTTTCTTCCAAATGACGCAACTTTTTGAGTGAAAATTTTCAATTTTATTAAAAATTTTCATATTGCTTTAAAACAATTTTAGATAAACGAAACAGTTGTACTTCTTCATAAATTGTCCAATTATAATCTCGATGAGGAGTTACGTGAACTGGTAAATAATTACAACAAGATTTTATGTAGAATTTTAACTATTCTATTTGTAATTTTACTAGCGCTCATGGAAGTTCGGGCGTGTGAATAAATTTCATCGAATGATTACGTATAAAACTGGGACATTATAAAACATCAATTGTGTTATCCGTTTATATATGTTAGAACACTTATACACACATATTATATGCCATAATTAGGGTAAGCTAGAAAAAGATGTATCTATTAATCATTTTTTATTTTATATACAAAAGCGAATGTTTGAAATTTATGGATTATACTTCGAACGTCTTACAAAATAAATACTATTCATTTTAGCACTTAAAATTGAAAACATTTTATAAATTTTTTTAGAATGTTCTCCACATACAAAATATACAATGTATTTATCGCTGTGTCCTTATTACCATTTGAAATAATCGGTTAAAACATTTTATGTTGAATTATTGCACATAATTATCGCTTACATATTAAATTGTAATTCTCTATACACCGATATAAAATGCTTCAATTCTGGTCCCTTTAAACGGTTAATGAAATGTAAATGATATGCAAGAGAATAACGCGCTTAAAGGGCCATTATCTGTACGAGGGCAAATCAATAAGTACCCGTGTTTGAAGACAGGCGGTATTGCTGAGTATATGCAAGTCGGCATTACCATCGTGTACTACCATCTTCAAACGACGCCATTTCAGAGTGATTCATGTGATAGGTTTGATTTCACAGCAATTCGTAATGAGCGCGTTTGGTGTTTTTCGATACAATGGAAAAAGAACAATGGTCGCGTTCAGCAGACTCAACTGTTGCGGAGCGGATCAGTGAGCTCTCGTTTCTATTGGATGATCTAAAAGAATACACCAACAGCAGCGAGCGCTAACGAATCTGCTCCACCACAGTTGAGTCTGCTGAACGCGACCATTATGGATCCGTGATTCGCTTCTTACTTTTGGATAGAAAAACGTGCGAAAAAATAAAAACTTCATTCGAAAATACTTCAGCCAACGTTCAAAGAAACTTCATCCAAAAAGAAAACGCGAATCATCGATCGATATTGCTCTTTTTCCATTGTATCAAAAAACGTCGAACGCGCTCACTACGAATTGCTGTCAAATCAAAGCTATCGCATGAATCACTTTGAAATTTTGTATGGCGTCGTTTGAAAGATGGTAGTACACGATGGTAAGTAGTATAATTCGTTTATTGGCTTTACTTGACGTTTACAGCCATCTTACAGAGACTTGCTGAGTCACAACGACTAAACTATGGCTGCGTTCAGCAGAACGTTTGTTTTACAACTGTTGGAAGTTTCCTTCGCGCTGATTGGATCATACTTTTAGATCTAGAAGAATGGTCCTATCTCAGCAGACAATCATAAAACGGTTGCAAAACTGTTGAGTCT